TTTTGATGCCTTTATTAATACCTACAAAATTTTAAAATTATTGAGTAAATATGGTATAATTTTAATTAATAATTGTTTAATACGACTGGTCAAGCGCAGGCTCGATCAGCGCAGCATAAAATATGCGATTATATTCCAAGCTGTATATCTACATTTGTCTTTTTGTGTTTCATGAGCTTTTTTTCAATAATATAAAAGCTATTGTGAGTAGTTTTGTTCGCCAATTTGTCGTTTTCGGAATGCATGCAAGGCGTCAGAGACCTTTTAGTACAGCGACCCCTTAACTCTAAAAAAAATTACCCCATTTTGTTATATTCCCCCAGGATAAAAGAAGAAGCCGCCGTGAAGTGAAGAAGTGCCGTGTGGTGACGGCAGAGTAGAATACATTTGTCACCAACCCCTACTCTTCCCGCGGGTGTCGTAAGAGGCGACTTAGGGTCCACACATCAAACAGAGAATGGGCAGCAGCGCTCTCTGAAAAACATCAATCTTTTAAACTGCGATCTCCAACCCGCCTGCCAAGCGTGGGGATTATGGCAAAACCCTCCACTATAGTGGAGGAGGCTCATAGTCCAGCAGTGGACTGTAAAGGGCTGTTGATGATGATGATGATGAAAAGAAGAAGATCTTTGTATAATGATACAAAGCCAAAATCTTAAAAGATGTTGTATGTCTTCCAATCTGTTTCGCAATTGTCCAGGATGTAAGTCTACTCTTCCTTTTTGTATTATGTCCCTTGCGTTTGTCTCGGCGCCCTTTCCAAGGCAATCGGTTGATTCACCTCTGCGCTTCCATGTCGGTCATAAGTGCGTGTCTGCAATTAGTGTCGAGTGACATTCATTATAACCCGACTGCAGTAAAGACAGCCATGTTTTTATATCTTCTTCTTGTCGTGTCGACAACAAACCTACACAGTGTCAGCCCAAAACTCCGCCACAAGAGTGGCGTTGTCAGTGGCCTTCATTATTCTTCCTGCGTGCAGTTGTTTGGGCACGCAGTGCCATTGTTTGTATATGCGAATCATATAATTCAAGATTACAGCATATTATTTAACAATAAAGCGTTGGAATGTAAGTTTGGTCTAGAACGATCACAGAAATATAATTTTTGTTTATGAAAACTTAACTGAAGTGTATCGATTAAGTCAACCATAATTATCATCATCCATTGGAAGAGATGAATTTCCATTGTTTCCTTAAACGCTTGTCGAAGTATAAAACAGTAAAAAAGTTGTTTTAGTGTGACAAAACAAAGTAAAAATTACTGTAGAGAATTACTTATATGACAAAAGGAGATTAATATGTTATATAATTTCATTGATATGATTTATGCTAAACTAGGCTAGCTTTCCGCCCGCGGCTTCGCCCGCGTGGAATTTTGTCTGTCACAGAAAAACAATATCGCGCGCGTATTTGCTCACCGTTTAGACCTACCCTGGACTAAGACAAACATTTTAAAACCAAAATCAGCTCAATCGGCCCAGCCGTTCTCGAGTTTTAATCAGACTAACGAATATATAGATAGATAGATAGAAGATAGATTGGTGCTGGGTCACGTGGCCGATAGTTTTTGCGTTCGCGCATAATGGAGTCGTATGGAGTCCCAGCGACCGCAGTCTCAATCACATATTGATATACTTAACTAACAGTTGTCATTGACTTTAGAAATCATCGACATGATCGTCAGCCGCTAGAAATCCACTGCTGGACATAGGACTCAATACTCTCCCATAGATTGTTACAGCGAGTGTTTCACTGTACGAACTAATCGTTCCTAATTAGTAGACTTATAGTAGGTAAGTAGGCACTTATTGTGCTAAGCCACCTCGCACTGCGTTCAATTCCTGAAAATCTTGTATCTTCACGTTTAGTAGGTACTTGTAGAGACATTTAAATTGATAAATCGATCATAACAATAATATTGCTCTATTATCGACACTATGATTATTTTTGTAACAAAAGTATCTACATACTTTAAGTACCTTTTTATGTCAACAATAAAGATAAACCATACTGTGCTAAAAATTATCAATGTTTGAAACATGACTATTACAATTAATTTACTCTAGCAACTTAGTTTCTTACACCTAAGGGATATTTTCTAGTTCTTTTAATTACAGGCGGTGGATATTAAAGAAAAAACCCATACTTAAATGGCTAATCCATTAATAAGTACTATTTAGAAATAATCTAAAGCTTTTTCCGCAATTACCGTCGCTTAGTAGGAACTAGGGGGCCTCGTGGATCGGTCTTTAACGTCATCTACTCTAATGATTACCACGTTCAAATCCCATAGCTAGCAGATGATTTTGGGCAATGAGCACTTATAGAATTTCTCAACAAGGAAGCTATATCAAAGCAGTTTTAAACATCAACATACTTGTAGGATAAAATAATACCTATTCGTAACATACAACAAATCGCTTTGAATATTTAGCACGTTTCAATAAAAAACAAATCGAGTTTAGGTAATGCGTATAAATGACGTCATTCGCGGATTTTCCTATCCTGATTAACGGGCTGATGAGGAACCGTCCACACGGATTACACAACGACAGGTGTTAATCAAATGTCGCGTCCACGCGGTCAAGTGTGAACTCCCCCTAACTGGATTAAGAGGATCAAACGGGCACGAGTTATGAAGGAGAATGGATGTGGCAAAAAGGATGTTGACCCGTTTTAACAAAATAAATTATTCCAAAAAAAAACAAAGCAGAGTTGGAAAGAAAAAAAAATTGCAAACGTAAAATGTAATGGTCAGTAGTTGCATTATGTAGAGTCGGTTCCTGTAGTGGAAACTAAATGACTTGTTTTATGATAATTATAAATAAATAAAATAAATGATTAATCTTCATTCATACATATTTTTAGAATGGCATTATTTATTTAATCTGTTCTGTTTTAACTGGTATTTATTGATAATAATATTAATTAGTCATACATGAAATCACGAATAACTTTTTCATAGCATCCATATTCTTAACAATATTTCCGGCTTACTGAAATTTAGTCATTTTTAGCTGTGTCAAAATAAACATTGACTTCGTAGATTTTGGGAGAGTTGCATGCGCGCCATAGGGATGATTCATAATTCAGCAGGGTTTCCAAAACTTTTTGAATGTCAATTTGCATAACATGGTCATCACTGCATATTTAATTAAAGTCCCTCGCTGCAAGTGTTTGCTTGTGCTTATCTTAAAATTAATATGTGGATTTTAATGGAAAATTGATTATTCAGGAATTTTCTCTAAGTCCGCCTGGCTAGCTACCAGTCTTACTTAAGTCCGTCGCCATATTAACAATGTTCCGGCAGTTAGAGGTATGATGCCAGTTCCTCTGTGGTTCAGGATTTCTGATCACTTTCCATCAGATGAGATGCAGGTCAAAAGCTTTCTTGTTGTGAATAAAACAAATGGAACATTGAGACGTTTCATCTAAGTGTTAGGTATTATCAACGTCTTCTCCAAACTTCCTGAATGCGTGTGTCCATAACGTCCTAGATTCCACAATGGCCGCGCCCCTCTAAATACCCACCTGTACCTGCAGTCTAAATTGTCCCCGAGCCATTGTATAGGGCCAATTACGGATGCCACCTCCACACTTTCTAGGATGCATGTGTGCATGATACGCTGGCTGTTGGCTGTTGGCCTAGTTAGCTGGGGCCGCGCCCTCTGCAGAATAAATTGGGCCAGACTAGATCTAGACCTCTAGACCTCTACGTGTCGCCTGTCGCCTGCAGGTGTACTCATTACGGTCATTATGACGTGAAAGTTCTGACATCATGTCTTTTTATAATAACTAACTCTACCCGTGACTTCGTACGCGTGGAATTTATTTCTTTCAATTTTATTTCTGGTAATTTCTGACTAGACCCGACTGGCAACACTGATGGTAAAATTAACTCGTCTAATACTGAAAGGAAATGTTACGGACGGCTTACCTACATTTTATAAGTATGTATTTACTGAAATAAAAGTACTAACGTAATGGTTCTAAATTATGGATTCCGTGGCATGTTTGTTATCTTCAGTCACGTTTTACACGAGTATTTTGTACATTTTGATAACTTAGTTGTAGAAAAGTGTCGTTTGTCTTTAGGTAAATCCATTAGAGTTAGTTGGCAGACCGCTGCCAATCGATCAACATGGAAAACATTGGGGGAGGCCTATGTTCAGCAGTGGACGTCCTATGGCTGAAATGATGATGATGATGATGATGATTACAGTTAGTTTGGTGCTTAAGTACAATAACTTTTCATATGGGATCATTATAACTTCTCATTATATCTTAACCTAAATAGGCTGGCGATGATAAGTAAATATGTGTTAACGGATTATGGGGATATTAATACCTTATTTTTCAGTAAAAAATACTCCAAATTTCTTTTATCCTACTTTGTGATCTATCTTGTGGCCACGATGGAAAGCACATCAAGCTACTTTACTTTAGCATCTAAAGCAGTTGCAGATAATAGCAGTTTTTTGCAAGGTATATGTATAAAAGTCAGATGTGTTGTTAACTGTACACCAGGACCTAAAATGGCAATGGCAGTATGGTAATGAAACGTTTTACGGTAAACTAAATAATTTAAACAACAATTTCGTATAAATGTGAATTCGCATAGTTTACTGATAATACCATTGTTAGCAATAAAGACAAAAATTGGGGCACATAAATTTTAATGTTATATTACTATTGAACTTCAAGGTTGCACTTACTTATACATATACCAGAAGCTGAGAACACATAATACGCAAAATATACCGTAGTTATGACATCCATAGTCAAATGACTACGAGACTGCTACGGCGTAGTCAAAGCGACTACAAATAATTAACTTTTAAAAAAAATAAAACCGACTTCAAATGCGTGAACACAAAAAAAAACTAAAAATTAAAAATATTGCGTATAAAAAAGTTCATCCCCAATTTTCCACCCTTGGGGGTGAACTATTTCCTTCAAATTCGCATGAAACCACCCTTTTGATAATACCTNCATACACGAAGTATTGTCTACTGTACGGTCTATATACACAAGACCGCTCTGAACTTAAACGTGTCATGACTCAGACCATCTCTTTATTCGGTACCCCTAAGCGCTTGGTCTGCGATCGGAGTCGAATGTTTGACAACCGAGAATTTCTTGATTGGATAACCGGATTTGGTGTAGAAGTGCATTTTATCACTCCTGAAATGCACCAGGAAAACGGCCAAGTCGAGAGATATTGTCGTACGGTCTTGAATATGGTTCGGTTAGAAGTTAATTACAATAAAAACGAATGGCCTAAAGTTTTGTGGAAATTACAATTAGTTTTGAATATAACGAAACACAAAACAACGCAATGTTCGGCTCTCAATTTGCTGGTTGGTTCAGATAATACTACTCCGTCTATAAACGCCCTTGTTAGAGACATCACGTGTGAAGGTACCAACCCAAATAGGCAGGCTATGCGAGAGTTACGTCGTCAACGCGCTGACAGGCTTATTAACGAGAATAGAGAGAGGCAGGATGCATACGTAAATAAAAATAGGAGTCAACCTAAGAAGTTCCACATTAATGATCTTGTTTATGTGATAAAGAGTTCGCAAAGTACCGGCAAACTCGATTGTGGCATGCGAGGTCCATATAAAGTCATAGCAGTTTTGCCGAATGATAGATATGAACTTAGACTGTTGACTGGTTCTTATGGGAAGACCAGCCAGGCAGCGGCTGGGTATATGGTTTTATGGCGTGGCGAGTGGACGCCTGACACCTGTGCTGGATTTTTTGAAAGTTAGTACTGATTGTTACAATCATTTTGTGTTTATAGATTGTTTATTCTTGTGTTGAAACCCAGCGTTTGCCAGTAACTTTAGACATGTACCAAACTGTTTGTGTTTATTAAGATGTGATGATCTAATGGAACAGACCCATGTAAGACCTTGTGCACAAGGGGTTGGGGTGACCATGCACTTTGTTGCCATACTCGTCTGTGTGAGAGTATAGAATGAAGGTACTAGGTTGCGTTAGTGGGGGCCCACACTAACTAGAGACCTGTGTAAATCCTTTGTGTTTTGTGTGAAGGTATTGGTGTTGACCTGTTAGAGACCGATGTAATTCCTGTAGCGTGCACATAGTAAAAGGTATTCGGTTGCGCAGGAAGAGACCCGTGTAAATCCTTCAGTGTTCATAGGTATCGGGATGACCAGTTAGAGACCGGTGTAAACCCTCCTGTATGTACACACGGTTGAGGTATCTGGTTGCGCTGGAATAGGCCTGAGTAAACCCTATGTGTGTGTGCGATATTATCGAATTTGTTTGGTACATGGTCAGTTTGTTTTACTTTCAGTAACGATTCATCTGACTGTTATGAGCTTTCTGTCCTAAAATTGATGTGGTTGTTTCAGTTTACGATGAGAGTACTGAAGTTGAAGACCTTGCTGATGATGCGGGAGCTGGTCCCTCTTCAGCAAGCTCGTGAGGGCTGCGAGGACGCTGCCCCGTCAGGAGAGGCCGTATTGGAACTGAAGAGACCCCTGGCGGCGCTGCTGTCGGCGCTGCGCGTCACGACCTGTATATAAAGGCGGGAGCGACCGTCTCTCGTCCATTTGCCCATCAGCCGCCGGAGAAGAAACATCAAGCCAGAAGCTCTGCCCGATTTACTTTCGATTTATTTTCGATTATTTTTGCAATAATTGTTTTTTTAGTTTGGTTCGAATAAATTTTTTTTTTTAACCTTTAACTACCGACCTATACGTCTCTCAGACGTAATAAATTTTCATTTTGAAATATTTCTAAAATCACGCCACCTTCGGCGTCGTCTCTCCCGCTACCTTCCTAACTCCGCGTCGCAAGCCCCCAGTCGACTTCGCGTCCGCGGTAAGTTCATATGTCCCCGTATCGAAGCGATCGACGTCTCACAGACGTAAGTACGGTGTTTATGTAACAAAATTTCGTAAGCTAAAACAAGGGCGAGATCAGTCGTGGCCGATTTTTATCCTCGCTAGTACGTGAATTAGTCCTCCCAGAAATGAAACTACGCATTTACAATGATAGAATCCTATCGAGCGAGTTTTAGGACCCGCCGATATGCCCGAACCTCTACCACCAAAAAAATATCCAAATCCAGATCCAGGTGTTAGAAAGACGTGTGCAATCTGTCCCGTACGGTTAAAAAGGCGGACGAGTACTGTTACTGCAAATTTAAGAAACAAATGTACCTTACTTGCTGCGTAAAAATATGCAGTGACTGCAAACGTACGTAGTGAATGTACCAAATATTCAAGGGCTGTCATTTTTTTTATATTGTAACTAAGAAGTAAGATTTATGTTTTATTTTGATAATTATTTACAAAAGATAACATATTTTAAATTCATTCGTTGTTTAATATTTAATTTTAGTGAAATACAAAACTAAAGTAAGACCTTAAAATTAAGTGCCAAATAATCGTGACCTCTCGAATAAATGTTGATTTTACCTGAAAAATAACGTGTATACTCGTATTTTTGAAATCCTGTAGTTTACTTACCTTAAATAACAATCTTTTTAATGCATAAAATAGAAAAATGTAGCATGCAAATACACTTGTAATTTCATTACTTAAATTTTTACGTCTCTCAGACGTCACATCGGCGTAAGTGCTGCGTTTAGACCAGGTCGGCAGCTAAAGGTTAAAGTAAAAGTTGCGTTATTTATAAGAATATTATGTTTATAACTTTTAATGAATCCACGATTCGCGATAGCCAAACGGTGAAGGGGTCGGACTGGCTGACTCGTGATCCGAGGAACGCGGGTTCGAATCCCGCCGCTCGACTATTATTGTGGTGAGCCCACTCGTAACACAAGCATATTTAGTTTAGTACAAGGGCCTAACGGGACTATAATATAATTTGTGCAATACAAATTACTAATATTCTTTTAAAAATAATAATAAAATCACTCTACGCTTGCGATTACTCTCAGTCATCAAGGGGATCAAGTGTAGGTAGGTACCTAAAAATTGCTATAACTATACTGGAGCCATATTATTGACGTGTCATCATTTTGTTACATGATTTTAGAGCAGGTAATAAATATTAATCTAAAGCCACCGTTGTGTGGATCTCTGATAGGTAGAAGTCAATCACAATGGAAGAAGAATGCAGAAGGATCTCACTCATAACTGCATAAGCAAGAATTAGAATAAAATTTATTCGCTAAAGACCAAATTACTTAATTGACAGAAGAAAAGTAATCCTAATAGCTTCAGCCACAGATCTATGGCTTCAACCATCCATTCTCTCTTAGGCTTTTGAGACACGCAGCGCTTTTTGTCAAATGAAAAAAAAATGGAACATTTTTGTGCCCAAGCGCGTAATTTGCCACATTAATAAGTATATTGAAAGCGCCTGTTGACTTTAATCGACTATTGATTCCGTACAGAAGTGCTAAGCATTTTTCGCCATCTCTTCATTAAATTCCTTCAAAGTTTCTTGTCAGCTTTTGGTGGCAATTGAATCATTGAGCCCACTGATTCATCAGAAATTGTGATTTCAATCTAGACCATAAAATATAGGCGATTAGTTATGACAAACCGCAAAGCCGAAACACCAAAGGTGTAGATATAGAGGGTCGAACAAGCAAATCATAAATTGATAAAAATATTATCGACTTTGCAATAAATACAAAAATAATATAAATAGGTCAAGAGTTGCGTATTTTCAGTTTACTTGGAACTGTTTCACCAGTGATCCTCAAGATGGCGTACTTCGGCAAGGAATTCAAATTCGAGAAGGAAGAGAACTATGAAGAATTCATCAAGTCAATTTGTAAGTAGGTATGACTTTAAACTTTATTTAGCCCATCAATCCTGAAGCGGTTGCATAATAATAATATGACCGCGTAACAATAATGATAACTACTTATCTGTGTCTCGATTCCTAAGGCTAGAAGGGTTAACACGTAACAGTGGACTGGAAGCGGACAGACCTATCGTTGTAGAAATCCTTGAGGGAGGCAATTGACCAGCAGTGTACCTACGTCATTTGGCTGAAACGAGTGTACCGAGTATTCTTATCCTGTAAATAAAATGAATTCGAGTACTTAATTAAGTTATTAAATGAACTGCTCACTACGAAGAGATAGGTAGAATTAAGTTTATTTCTTTCATCACAGCTGCCGCTGACGAAACCGCCGCAATGTTTTTGACCTTCAAGCCCAACTACAAGATTGACAAGAAAGGCGACGAGTACGTCATGACCCTCACCAACGGAGACTTCAAAAAGGAGATCAACTTCAAGCCTGGTGTGGCCTTCGAGGAGGACATGAGCACTGGACTTAAGGTAAGATAATACTTAACTTTAATTTATGCAGAAAATATAATAATTTCTATTGATTTGATCGACGTACAGTCTAATAAAGAACTTTGTGGCAATATCGCTTAAAAGATTTCTGATCCACCTTTTGGTCAGTAGGTCTAGGTACAATACGCTTCAGGCTCCAGACCAGACCAAAAAGCAGCAATATTATGCTTATAATTTACTTTACCACAATAGTAGCGGTCGATGAGTAGTCTATTATCGCGGCTATCTTACTATTTAAGGTAAGTGCCCCCTACNATCTGTGTTGTGGGGGAGCACCATCCTGCTGGTAGGTAGTAGAGCATTTGGTGTAACGCTAAGGGTACGTCATCAAGCATTTCGTCTAAGACGTCTTGCAGACACTCCAAGCACCATTTTGATTAAATTATTCGTTGTTTGAATACACTTCAGTCATTTTTGTATTATTTATAACGTGATTTGTGTTTGATGGTTTTCTCAGTTTATTACAAGTGTCAAAAAGACATTTTAAAGACAATAGATTGCAATAGATATTTAAAAATACAATAAAAAGTAAAAAAGTCTCCATCGCCATCGCCAACAAGTGATGTGCATGCGTTACGATAATTAGTGGTGTGTTTAACAGATTGTCGATAAAATAAAATACTCAAGATTAAAAAAAAAAAAATTCGGGCATTATTTTTTTACGGATTTGTGTTCAGTATCAGTAATATAATAACCTCTGTAAATATGGCAAGAATGCAAAGTAACACCCTGTATATATAGAATCCATTATTGGCTGTAAGAACAAAAATATCTGTTTGTATTATTATTATAAAAAACTGTGGTTTTATGAATAAAGAAAAAAAAGGAGGACTTTATCCCAATTAAGTACCTAGGTAATTCAACTTTCTGAGGGCATTGCTTTTTCTGGTTAACTATTTTTGTCTTAAATCAGACAGGATTTACCACAAAGATAGAGAGAACATCGATCTAAGCTTTCCGCCTATTTTTCTACTTCTATAAATACGTTGAAACGTTGTGAAAACAGCTGATGAAGATAGCGTGAGTTGAGTGCTCTACGTCATTCCTATCTATCAAAATACATTGAAGTACTACCTACGTCATCATTTGTCACGAATTTATCAATGAAAACGAGGAAAGATGAGCGGAAATATCTAAATTATGCGCCACCACAGGTCACAGAGTTTTAAATTCATGAGGTTAAAATTAATTTGTTTAATGGTAGATTGTTAGAGTGAATGTAATTGGTGGATCCTAAAAATTACCGTAAATCACTTGTCAATTTCCTTCTTTACATTGTTGTGTGTTGCGAATAACATTTGATGCTAAATGTACCTATTAATTATATACTCCACTTTCTATTTTTTGTTACTATTTACGACTAATTATCATGTTTACGCTGAAATTTAGTATAAAAAACTGCGGAACGCAATTACACAGCTGGCAAAATGCGTGACACAAACCAAAACGAATCCTTTAAAACAGAAATTTTAATGATAAAGGTTGAAATCATGTCAATGGCTGCACTCAGAATGGTCTTTTTTGAAACAATGTCCATTTGCTTACGTTTGTGGGTCACGATTAGCACGTCGGGTTCCGGTACATTGTGCATTGTCTGCGATTTGGAGTGACTTGACCAACCGCAAAATATAAATTGCATTTCATCCACCGCAAACCTATTTATTTATTGAAATGATAAGAAAAAGTACATCACCAACTTTGTTCTAAAAACAACCTCAGCGTTAGGTGTTTCGAAACAAAACATCCTAAGATTTCTATCCTGAAATGTCCTTCGATAAGGTTCCACAGCAGGTATTTAAGGCTTAAATTGGGACTTTAATTTCATGCTTCATACAATCTACTTAATAACTAGGACGATAAGATATTAAGTATAACAAGGTTCAATTTCAATAAAAACGTTTAGAATCTTTGACAAAACTGGAGGGTTACCTTTCCTTTCAGTTGCAGCAATAGCAGGAACTACCGTCCATTCATAATTAAGTTACCCACAATTCGCTATTTTAATTGCAACGGAAATCAAAAGTCAAGGGTAGGTTTGAATGAGGAAGGCGCGATGCATATCGGCGCCCGCGCCTCTGCCACTGGCCGGTTAGTCGATTTGTACCCGAATTCGGAAACGCCCGTCTGCGGGCGTGAATTTTAAAAATAATAAACTTGAATTTCGAATGAGAAATTACTTTTAATTGGTGATTGTGTGAAGTGGCCAGCTTTTCTAGTGCTTGTGTATTGTGACTTTTTGGATACAAAATTAATCGGTGAGTTTTTTACTTAATTATTCGAAAAAGGTTAATTATATTATGAATCTAAACTAAAATAAAATCCATATTTTATAGCAACTAACTTACTCGTATTTTATAAATCAATGAGTTTTTGTCTGCCTTATCTGTTTAATTGATCTATTTCATATTGGGCTTTGATAATGTCATGAAGATAATTTGATAAGCTTTTGTTTTCATTCAAAGCCGGTTTTATTTTCATTTTTCGTACAGTTCCATACTGTTTTAAAAGAACCAAGAAGCAAAATTCGCCACATTTACCGGTCATTAAATTTTATGAACACGTTAGTGCTCTACTAAAATGTTATTGCGTTAATTTAACAATTAGATAATAACTAAATGAGCTCTAAAAAACAAAAGGAGGATATGTCGAAACTCGTCATTGGATTTTAAAAGTTATTTTACAATTAAAATTTAATGCTTATGTTTAAATTAAAAATAGACACATTCCCTAACTAATTGAACCAATTTTTAGTGTAGATTGAAAAAAAAATTAACCATCGTTAATTATGCAAAATAAAATAATTAAATACTAAATACCTATATTCAGTATGGCTAAGCATATTAAAAAAGTTTTTACAAGACTTGCGTAAATAAAATAGTTAGCCTCAGTTGCCACCTTAACTTTAACCCTAACTATAACCGGTGTTTTTGTGTGGAGTTTGACAGACTTTTGACGTTTGTATTAGTTACAGTAAGATTGTGCACCCAGCCTTAGAAAATGCGGATTGTCATGTTTTGACCGACACAGTCCGTCCTATAACAACCTTTGAAAGGTTATTAATTGGCAAATTGAATTACCCAAGTCAACCGAATTGCGTTAGGGTCAAACAGACCTCGTAACTACGGTTAAATGAGATCACTTCGCGAGAGCGTCGGAAGCATTGCAAGCGGTTACGTGTTCGTTACCGCTTGTGTCGCAAACAAAGCGTTGCGGCACGGATGGGTGACCGGTCAGTTAGTCAGTAGCAGATAAATAAAACCCTGATTAATTTCGTTGCGGGTCCAATGACAGTTTAACTTTTCCCCGGGACAAACTTGACCTTCATTGGTTGGGTTTTTGTGGCGGTCAAGCTGTAGATCCTGGCTACACAGGAGTTGCAGTGGTGGGAACGAGAGGTGGGAACAGTCCCGTAGATAAATAAAACCCCTTCTGTCCTAGTAAAACCTGTTTTTCCTGACGTTGACCACCAAAAAGTTAGCCTATAACCACGGCCGCAGCAACCCGGTCGAAACGTCAGACAAAAACAGTTAAATATTTTTTTGAGTTTGAGTTTTTTAAGTTCGAAGTCCAACAGATAAAGTTAGTTTTATGTGTTTTCACAGTATCACACGGTAATAATACATACACCTACATTAATACAAGTATTTAATTCTACATTATTATGGTGACAATACAGCAAGCACCCTAATTCTACACGCACATCAAAGTTAGAAAACTCAGAATGTGTATTTTGGAAGCATTTGTTCGCCAATCAGCTTTTGGAATTTGCTGGAGCCTTATGTCTTAAATATGTCTATAGGGCTATCAAACTATTTGATTATAAAGCACTACCGTTTCAGCGTCTATAAATAAAGTTAATTGTCGTCTCACTGCATGGTTTTTGCGGAATCACCGCTCGTACAATACAATCTGGGTTACACTCAATTCGGCTGTCAACGTATTTTGGACGCACGTAGGGCTGGCACGTGCAGTTCCGGTGTCATTCAAAAAGAACACAAAAGTACATAAGCGAGCAAAAAAAAAATGGATAAGATTACTTTCGGAAAAGAAATCTCTTTAAAAAGTGACTTTCGTCATGGATGTTTTATTGAAAGTTTATAACTTCCGTTAATAGTTCTTTCAGCCTATTTTCATGTAGAAAACGTGTGATATAGGAGAATGTGTTTGTTTCCGTAGACAGTGGAAAGCCAATACTTATCATTAATAGTGAAGAATAGAAGTACCTAGCCTTCCATATCTTCGTTCACAACCATCTGGGTCTGCTCTTCTAAGTTACATGTTCTATGTCTGATGATACAACTATCGCTTTTGCTCTTTTTATCTATCAAAAATATGGCACTATTTTAAAAACAAAAAACAGAATAGTTAAAACGCCACCTGTCATCTGTCACCCCTAACCGCCAAATGCGCTCTGCCACGGTCCGGCGCGCGCCATCTGCGCCCGCGACCGTTGCGCCGCCATATTTCCACGGTGCGCCCGCCTTTTTGTTATTAATACGTGTTATTCGGCTATCTAGGGCTTATAGACTGATCCGATTACTGGTTTGCACTTCGGAAAAAACAACTGTCGTGAATCCCAGACAAGACATTCGTAAAAAATACTAACGCACGAAATCCATACTTATAAGATAAGCCAATAAGCCACTGCGTGACAATGTCAAATTAAAATTCGCTGTAGAGGAATATGGAATAATCAATAGGGGATGATTGTCCAAATGGCCAAGTGTTGTTATTTAAATAATCTAAGATAGAGATATTAATCTGCTTGAGGTGCCTGAGACAGTTGAATAGTTAAAATTGCCACTGACTTATAGAAGACAGATGGTATGGTGCAAACCCATTATTATTCTACTGACATCGCCATCTTCCTGGGCGTGGGGTCCAGTTCCGGTAGGAATCTATTTTTAACGTTCCTGACTAGGTTTACTGACGTGATTGGTTTCACAAAGGAATAACAAATATAATTAAAACATCAGCTGCAGAATTGTTAGATGAACTTTGAAAAGATGTTAAAATTGGATACTTCATACGAAAAACTTAAAAAAAAAACTCGCCAAATTGGAGCAGTATGAGAAAAAAACTTTTTACAAAAAAATATCCTGATATCTTACCAAGATTATAAATACGAAAGTACGAAACGACTGTTGATCAAATCAGACGAATGCAACTGATTAATATTTGCAATAATAATATCTGAGGCTGTAGACTTAGCCTAGGCGCAGACCACCGATTTTTTGTCGGCCGATAGTTTAGTCGGGCAGTTAATCAGTATAGACATGTATGGAAGTACACCGATTGATTCTTCATACAAATTAGAATCAGGCCCAACTATAGGCCGACTAAAAATCGGTCGTCTGCGCCTAGGCTTACAGTTACAGACAGATTATGTCACGACGATGCAAGACCTTAACACTTTCGTGGACAGTGAACTGCTATAGCATTCATAAAAATTAAACTTCTATTGTGTCTGGGTTACTGTTAAGCCACCGCAAGCACTGGACAACAGGCTTTAGCACAACTTAGATACTTGTGATTCAACGGCACGAGCTGTCGCATCACGCGTCGTCGTGCCGTTCGCGCCGGAAGGTGGATAAACTCGCGCGTTGCATGATTCACGATAAGCCCGTGAACTGTTCACAAGGATCTATCTATCTATTTGGATAAACTAATGCCATAAAAGATAAATTAACGTTTAAGATTAAGGCAGAATAATGGCAGGCAAGGTTAGATAAAATAATGTAGAGTGCATGTTCATTGCGCAATGCTAACGCCGATTTCCAAAAATATGCACTTATTTTTCCTAAATGTACCGAGTACCTACCTACTGAAAACTCGATTCCGACTTACGTCTACATTGGTCATTAAACCTTATTAATTATTTTAAACACTTACTTATTATATTTCAGTGCCTGAGAGTGTATCAACAGCAATAAACTTTTATTGAGAAGCGTATCTCAACAACTTACGTCAGGCGCTACATTGCTATATTATTGTTCTCCCAGTTAAGTTTTGGAAAAAAGTAAGGTGCTAATTGAAATAATTTATATTAAATTCGTTAAACAAATTGTAGATGTAATAAATATCTAATCCCATAAAACTATCACTTTATGTAGAGCTAAGTAAAATCACATAACTTGGATAAAATGTCCAGTCCTGAAGAATTTCACTTCTTCTTCATGACCGACTTAGCTGGCGCGGGGGGAGGGGTGACCTTCCCAGGAGGGGTGGCCTGAGGGCTCACGTCGCCGGTAGCCAGGAACTTCTTCACGCGGTTCTTCAGGTCTATGTAGATTCGGTTCTCGTGGTTCAGTTGGGGTAGGACTGATAGGCGTTTGTCTGCCTCCTGAAAAGTGTACAGAATTTAGGCATGCGTGAAATATTCCCTCGTTGACAGTGATAGTAAGCACCTAACCAGTGAAATGCTACCTTTTTTTTAGCGTGTTAGTTACTAAAGTATCCCAAAATAAAACAAGATACCCCGTTGAATTAAGTAAGGAAAGACTTAATTATCGAATAACAATCTGTTTCTTGCTACTTTGTATCAAACACGTATTTTTTTGTTGTGGAATATTTGTCTACGTTTTCATCCAGGACCTTAGCCCAGGACTTAATTTATTTGCTTATTGAATTCGAGAAAGAATTTTTGCAACTAAACTAAAAACAAAAAAAACTGACTGACAAAAAATACCTATAAGCAATGACATAATATAAAAACATCTTAGCCTATAAGTAGTTTTTTTTATTAATAGCACTAGCATATGCCACTACAAGTCCCTTATTGTTTACAACCACGTTTTATAGGACTATAGATAAACATTTTTCATTATTTTAGGCCCAATTAGTTGAGCGAAGGCCACGAATTACCGTGTGCAGTGAATCTGAGGCCTTGGCACCAAACCCCACGATAAGCTTGGTACATGCATGGATGTGCTCATAGCGTATGCATTAGGTTATTATTTACTGATTGTAGCAATTGTTTAGATCGCATGTCGGTGTAATAGCGATGTTTATGAGCAACAAGATTTCCCTTCGGGGTTGGGAAGGCATAGGTAGGTAGTTCCTATATTTATATTAGAATTTCGTGCTAGTTATAAGTTTTTCTGTAACTCTTTCATGCCAGATCACCCATCTTTCTTCATTGATTGATTCCTTTGCTAGAACGAATTTGAAACAAAAACATACCAATTTTCCTTTCCAAAATAACCTTGCAGCAGTCACTCCTCTGTAAAATGGGTGTGATTCATTAAAATTTAAAACTACCTAGTCCTTTTTAAGTAAGAACTTGCCTTTCTAAATAGTGGGTATGTACGAACAGGCTTACTGAGTTTTTGATTGCAACATACTCGTGTTTAACTTGGTCCTTCGAGCTCCATACCTTTCGAGTTCAAACCTGTCCTTAACTGTTGCCAAATCCAGACCCAGTCGGAGTTTAAGCCACGGGTACACTAGGGGACAAATGGAGCAACATGTTGCGGAACATGTCACCGACTACGTGATGTTCCCGGGACAATGTTTTGCCCACAGAATGTCGACATGAAACATGTCGCGGGTCACGTAGAATGTTGCGCGAAACACTGAGGGACAGTTTGGGGTAGTTTGGAAAGTTTCTGCAACACGTAGTTTCTGAGTTGCACGGGACATTTTGTACCCTCGTTCGTGTATTGTGGCTTCATTTTATACATTAAAATCAATAGGTAAATCCATCATAACACGCGACAGTAATATTAATTTTGTATAAGCAACAAATGTAGTTTTTAACGATAGGTGTAATGTAGTTTTTGGCGACTCAAGTCACGTGTCATGTCACGATTTTTGCTGAGCAGGCGCCTTTTCAGCATGCCTCAATAAAAGCTCCTAAATGTTACATGCTGGATAAAGTAATTCTATTCTATTCTATTCATTTAAAAAAATCGTCGTGATGACTCACCGTCTTTACCACAATGATGTAGTACGTCCTCTTGTGCTCGAACTGGTCCGTGGCATAAGCATACGTGGGCATATTGAACAGCCCCATTAACCCCCCACTTTCGTCACATAGGTCGAACTGCGTAAACGTACCCAATCGGCACTTCTTCCTGATATACTCCAGCATTATCCGGACAGGACAGTTAGGGTTAACCAGCAACGTCCTTTCTAGAGACACGTCTGGTTCTGAAGACCGACGTCGTAAGTGGGACAGCTCAGGCGCATCTTTGTACGCTACGTAGATGAACATTGAATCTATTTTTCCTTGTCTATCTCAACTACTTGGCTAGCTTACACCATCCCAATTAACCGCCGAGATGGACTTTGTATCTTGAAATAAGCAAAGGCTGTTGCAAATCACACGAAATCTCTAAACAATCAAAGCAAAACTGACATGCAATGATTGTTTACATTTTTGATCACAGTTAATAGTCTCATATTGTGACATTAATATGTCAGTTTAATGTCATACTAAAAAGGATTTAAGCAATATGTCCTTTCTTAAAGAAACTATCAACCATCCTCCAATTCCAAAACTCGCAATAAAACAGTCATTGTAGGTATATTTTTTTCATGACTTACTGACGAAAACACTACACGACGAGATTGAGGTCAACAAACGCAGACCAAATGTATAAAAATGTACTGAAAAAATTCAGTTTATGGACTGCTAGATAACCTTGCGACATCACTAACCGCAGTTAAAAAAAAATTCGCGTTCGTAAATCTCCAACTATCGCATCCTGACCTAATAAGATTATCGACACCGGCAGCGTCCCACCAAAACAAACATCGCCTACAAAGGTCACCGCACACTGCCCGCTAACCTTGGCCGCAAAACAGTTGCGTTCACATTCAACCATTTCCCAACGAAAGGAATCTAACTAAAGCGATTCATATTTCATAAGAGCGATACGTTGCAATCGCGGGCGGTGCAACCGTCGCGCATTGGCGTCTCAACGCCGCCGTGAGCGCTCGCCCGATAACATATTTCTTTTTCCATTGCTGTCCCGTCGAGTGGCCAGTACGCACGTTTAATTCAAATTTGGAATCGATTATGAGGTGAATGATGTCTGCGAGCGGGATATCGAGTTTAGTGATGTTCGGAGTATCAGCCTGGCCCCCGCCTGGACCGTTGCCCAACTCTTACCAATTCCACCACCAGGGATCCAATTTTGCAGTATTCCTCATACTATTCGCGCTATGCATGATGGAGGTGGTGGTCCTGAGGATAATTACAGAGGAGCAAGCTCGGGAGCAGGGAACCAGGAGCGTCACTTCGCTATGGTTCGATGTGGATGAGGAGTGAAGTGAAGTGATGGTGAAGTGATGATCGATTCTGTGAATATTCATGTGTATTCGATAGTCATTATGAGTGAACTGCGACCTTATCAAGACTTTGGATGTTTTGTAAATAAATTAGGCTAATTACTTTTACGGGTAACATAGTGTTATAATAAGAAAAACATATACCTACTCTATCATGAGGCAAGATGTTTGAATGAACGAATTATGTAAAAGCTCTTGTAGCCATATCAACAAGCATGGAAAATCGATGATAATGTAAATTGAAAAGCTTAGATTGTCATCAATAAGATACGAACGACAATGTTTTCAAAACGAATAAGCAATAGAATGTTCAGAATAAAACAACCCTACAGCCCTTGAAACAGAAATAGAAGTAAAAATCAATACACACCGGTTTATTTTTAGTAACGAGAAGCTACTTTCCCGTTTTATAAAACGTGAACTGACCCAAATAGTCTGCGAGCTTTTTAATTTTTCCTCTTTTCCACTCCAATATTAATTGCCTTTCCCGTTAGCTATTATGTTCAGACCATTTAGTTAATCATACAGTAGTAGTTTAGATAAGTTAGGACTATGAGTAAGGGGAAGTTTTGTAAAAATGTTTCCATATTCTTGGAATTCTGAAATGTGGAATATAGCCAAACGCGACATACAAAAAAGGTGTAAAATTTTCAGTGACAAAATACTAAAAGTTACCTTAATTTGGTTCCTCTGTAATACTTATCAATTTGATTTTGGATTAAGGTTATAAAGACACCTTGCCTCTGGCAAACAGTGGGTATGAGAGGACCGGGCGCAAGGTAGCGACAATAAACAAATTTGTACTATGTACTAAAGTGGCACGTCGTATTGCAGTCACGCTTGAGTGCCATAGATTTTAGTTACCTGCCTATGGGCAATTTGTCAGGTCAGTCTTGCATAAATTGCTTCGGTAGGAAGGTAGAAACTTACAATTTTCTACATTAGGTACCCATTATTGTCTTCATTATGTACTTACTAACAAAAGAACATGGCAACTATTTTTTCTTGTTTCTTATCTCTACCTATTAGTTGTATTGTTAATTCTGAAATGTTATTCAGTTATAAGCCGAAATCCTGTAAAATTATGTTTCTGTAATGGGAAAACCTTTTCTTTTTAATTTTAACCCGCCTTACAATAATCTAGTATCGTAAAATCTAGTTCCTGAATAAGAGTCCTAGGACAGTCCTTATTTGACCCGATTTTAAAATTGAAATCCTATGTTGGACAAACATTCTTATTAGAAAATGTCACATGGAACATTTTAAGGAAAAGATTTAATTTATTTTGAGAGTGTAAGCACAGAATATATTCTGCCTCAAAGCCGTTCGATCGTTGACCGTGACCTAGACCCGCGCGAGGCGCTGCACAAAAAGTTGTTTGCGATGTAAACATACTAACTTTAACTTGCTTTTGCGAAATCTCTATACTGATGTCCGATTTGAAAAATTATGTTTGTATTGGATAGCCCATTTATCGAAGGAGGCTTTAGGCTAAGCGAGCACAGTTACTTAGTACTTAATAAAAGAAACGCTATTTGTTTTTATTTTGTTATAGCGTCAGACGAAAGTTATTTGTAAAATTATTATGTTGAAATTATACAATTTAAGAAAGTGTTATCTTCCAAACAAGCTGGGGAAAAGATTATAAAATTGTTTGTAAAATAATATTAATTTGTCAATAATATTAAGTAAGCTAGTAGAGGCTGATGGTTAACGATGGTCCTAACGTAACACCATCTACAGGTCTGAAAGACATTACATCTGAAAATACCTTTTCTAAATGTGATAATCGTACAAAGAAAAATTTTGTGGAAAGAAACACCGAGCATAAGCATTTCATCTCCTTTTTCTACTCTAATACTAACTAATTACTTATATTTACGCTATTAAAATAATGACTAAAATACTTTATCCTTAAAATCTACAATGTTTACACTATGACTCCAACTAAGTACCTAATCAATATTCTTGCGTCTCTTATAATTTAACTATTTAATAATGCATGTCTGAATTTTGTCTTTGGTGATTGGCAAGATCTATGAAAGTGTTAAATTGTCAGGCATGGTGCCCCCATAGCCTTGAATTTCAAATGTCTGTCCATGATGATACATGGTTTGAGTAACTAGCGCGAGTAAAATAGTTAACGTTAACTTTGGCTGAAAAATATTTTTTATTTCTTGATTACAATGATGATATTCTGTGACTTATCTGTTACGTAACATATTATTTGTATTCCACCACCGTATTATAGACTCTTAATAATAAAAATAGTAATAACAATAAGAACAAATAAAGCCTGCTTTCTGAATTACTTAGTGGACTCTACATCTTTTTTCTTAAAATTGAAAATCTAATTTGTTTATCAGACAAAGCCTGGATTATGTAAATATTTTGATCTTTTATCACTCTGTCATGAATTTTCTTGTTCAAAAGTAGTAGCATTAGTAGGTAGTATTGTAAGTTTAGCTGGCTGATTACTTATTTCTGAAAATTATAGTCTGTAAGAACATGGGAAACGGGCTAAGAAGGTATGGGTGTAGTGTTTCAGTGCTTACTTAAATTACAATTATCGAGAGAATGGTCTGGCCTTTCAAATTTGTGCAATATTATGTTCACATTTTATGTCTGATTTGTGTGCAATGATTTAGATGAATAGGCTAGTTAAATGTTTGTGAATACGTCAAATGTTTACCTGTTTTATGTTATTTTATTTTATTTGTGTGTTTATTTTTAGTCTAAATCAGTGAAACTAGCCAATACTTATAGGGACCAGAGTCAAAAGATTTTTCATTTTGCTGGCCTCAATAAGTGTTGTCATTTTGCATGTTTACGCTGTGATAAAAATTGTACCATAAAAGATAACAAGGATCTTTTTAATGCAGGAATATTGTGAAAAAGTTAACTACAATGTGTGTAGGAGGTACTAAATTTGTAAATGCTTATTTCTAAAATCTAAGCAACTGCCTATGATGTTTCAGCATTTTTTTATTATCTAGACCTAAAAGTATAGTCAATAACTTATATTTTTCTTTTGAAATGGCTTCATGAGGTTTGCACGTCTGTGTCAAGTAAAAGATCTCTCTCTCTCGAAAAGCATCTTTTCGTGCAAAAATCCTAATAAGATCCTAGAAAGATCTTTATCTTTAATATTGATTATACTTATTCTTATTGTAGAAGGCGTGTATTTAGACTGCAATAGATAGATTCTAATTTAGTCGCTATGTGTGATAATCTCAGGTGATGGCAAGGTTGTGTGAGGGACAAAGTGAAAAGTTACCGTAATATATATTATAAATTTAAATTAGGTTTAAGTAAAAGCCAAGTATTGCCACACAGCAAAAGTAGATTTTAATTGTTCAAAACTTTACAATGCACAGTCGACAGCAGACCAGACTGTACATTTTAGTAGCAAAATAACACCTATTCCAACTGTTTAAGATACAGTGTTTACTTTGATGTGCTGTCGTCTGTATAATTAATTATCAATTGTATTTGTAATCCTAATCTGATGCAAATGAGACGGTGTCGCGGTCGTAACCCGTGAGCCAACAATATATTTTAAGTATAATAATATTAATTAATTCCAGTGAACAAGAATTGATTAAACGATTTCATTACTGACTGTGTCTTATTTGTTAAGATTATTGGAGACTAGAACCACAGTAGATAAATCAAATATACTGTGCTAGAACGAAATCTATACTAATATTATAAATGCGAAAGTAACTCTGTCTGTCTGTCTTGCTTTCACGCCTAAACCACTGAACCGATTTTGATGAAAGCATAGATAGTTTGGGTCCCAGGAAAGGACATAGGATAGTTTTTATCCCGGTTTTGAAACAGGTACGAGCGCGATAAAGTTTTCTGTGACAGACAAAATTCCACGCGGGCGAAGTCGCGGGCGGAAAGCTAGTACACCTATAAGTATGCAATCTAGTCATTATTTCATCATCAGGTCATTTAGTCTCCACTGCAGGAGTACGACCCTCTCTAATTCACCAGAGGCAAAATGGAGGAATTGTCCTACACTCTCCACCCTGGCCAGACGGGTTGGGAAGGCCCACTGCCACTTAAATTTGGCAAATAGGCAATTCTGCGGGCAATGTGCGTTACTTTGGTTTCCCTGCGGATCTCCTGTTTTATATTAAGTAACTAGCGGCCGCCCGCGACTTCGTACGCGTGGACTTCATTTTACTCCATTAGGGGTGGAGTTTCGTAAAATCCGCTCTTAGCATCTATAGCGCATACATTTNTCTACCATGATTTGTATTTTTTCGTCAATTGATTTTGAACTCTATGTGTGACACATAAGGTTGAAAATAGCTTAAATACATTTTAATATTGAAAATATCATAAGAAGAAAGCACTAAATAAAGAACTTTAATTTGTCTAAACGTTTTATTTACAATAAACAGAATTTTTTTAAACTAAGGCAAACTTAACTCTAAACAAAGTTTATATATCTAGTTTATATTTTTATTTTGTTTAGAGTTAAGTTTGCCTTAGTTTTAAAAAAATCTGTTTATTGTAAATAAAGAGACTTAAAAATTTAAAAAAAATAACGTTTTATTGATTATTATTATTTTAATTAACACTTTTATTTCTACATACTATTGTACCAGTGATTTAACGGAAAGTTAAGTGTGAGGAAAATGAGGTTTCACAATCATAGTACGGGAGATATTTTTAGCACAAAGGTTACGGCTGTGACCTTTTTAGTTGTTTTTTTCAGACAGCACCAGCTTCTGCACTACTTCTTACACTTACATCTCACCATTTCCAGACAAGCCTCGGCAGCTACGGGCAAACCGGTCCATGTAGGCTTCATCTTGCTATCGACTCTGGTCCACCCCCAACCAGTCGGGTAAAGGGAAGACTCGAGTCGGTTGCTTGCAACTGATCCTATACGCCAGGGTTTCTCAAACAGGGGTACGCGTACCCCTAGGGGTACGCCATTCGAGGGCAAGGGGTACGCGACAACATTTACGTAATGGCGGCTCTATAACTGGNTCCTCTTTGCTGCCCCCTTCCTCTGGGCGGATGTGCGCCCCTTGTGGTCCCCCTGTTGGGGGGAAACCGCGTTCCCTTTCCCCTGTTTGGGAATGTGGAAGTGGAGGTTGAGGGGGTGGAAGGGGGGTTGACCCGTTGTGGTCCTATGCGGACCTGCACGGTACCCTCAGGGGGGGTGGTTGTGGATGTGGGTACGGGGGTAGAGGTGGTGGTGGTTGCGGCGGTGGTCGGGGGTTCAGCGGAGGGTTTGGAGTCCTGTATGGGGCCCTTAATTCTGAACTGGACCTTTTTGAAGCCAATGTTGGCCTTTAGGTCCATCATCTTCAGGGCCTCACACGAGTGGTCGTCCAGGGATACGGTCAGAGTTAGACCTCCCTTGTCGACCTTCGTATTAAGGACCTTCCAATGCTCGGTGTTCAGACCCTTATTCTGAGCACCGAAGAGTTCNTAGATGAAGAAATCAGGCAGTTTACAATAATGAGGTATCGTTTTTATACTTAACAGTTGGCACCCCTGGCGATTGACAGGACCTTACTCTACAGTTGGCGCCATCTTGATGAGTGCAAATGCGATAGTCCTCCTACCACTTTCGCGCTCACCAGTTGGTGCCACTGTCTTCGCTACTAGCAAGTGACAGGACCTTACTCTACAGTGGCGCTAACTGGTGAGCGCTAAAACGATTGCCCTCATTGCATAATTCAGTGTTCAAAGTGAACCATAATTTTAATAAATGGAAAAAATACCCAGGTGCTTCAATTTATTTATTTATTGTGGATGCTGTCTGTGTTCAGATCAATAATAATTTTTATTATTTATATTTTAATTTGTTTACATCTCAAATTAGTTTATCTACGTTACAGATCCAATTAGCCGTATTGATTAATATGTAAACACAACCAACAGATTGTGTTGTTGTAAAATTAATACTTGTACTTACTTTAAATATAATTCGCGAAAATTATAAGTAACAACTGCAAGTGACATGATAAATTCATGTATTACAGTAGATTATTTTCAGGTTAGTGTTGTGAAATTAATTAGTTTTAGAATAAATGAAATTATATTAAAATAATGCTTTACAATTCTACATTATCTGAATTCCTCATTAATATTTTCATAGTAGGAACTACATTTCTTCTAGTATTCACCAAAAGCCTTGAGGTCTACTTAAATAAAGCTCTGCTCTAAAAAGCTCATGGTTTCGCAGCTTTTCTCAACTGCGAGTGTTGGGCAAGCGACCAGCTGTTGCAAGCGTGTTGCACCGATTGCAACGCTCGCACATCTGAAATATTGCTAACTATGCATTGCCTAATAGTTCCATACACGTTTCGGGTACCTATATTTATCTGTGGTGTAGAAATACCTCGACTTACTAAAGAGCTGGATGCGGCAGCGCAGTACCGGTCATTATGAAGATCCTTGGGGGAGGCGACGTCCAGCAGTGGATGTCATTTGGCTGAAACGACGATGACGGCTATATATTTTTCTATATTTATTTGAAACCTGATAATCAAATATTGGATTTATAAAGTTCTTAATCCATTGAGATAATGTCATGTTGTGATAGGTCAATGTACTGCTGTTTGTTCATTACTTTACTAGCCAAATGCTAAGTATTCATTATACTATTATGATTAAAATCTTTATTCATTCGGCAATATCGTAAGCTTTACACCAAATTAGAAATAAATCATCAATCGAAGAATTTTATTACAAATCAATCATCATCAATCACCCCAATTAAAGAGAGAGTCGTTAAAAATAACTTTTCAATGTGATAAACAATCAGAAAGTAAATAAATAGAAATATCATAATGAAGTAACATTGCTGGCGCGGAATCGTAAGGAACACCCATCTCTAGAAAAGTACTATGTACCTAATCTAAAGCGAAAGGCATTTTAACAGAAATAATTAAATTTTTATTGTTTAAATTACTCAATACTCATACATAGTCCCGTATCCCTGCAGCTAGGCTAAATATACATTTAGTGGGTTTGCCACAATAATCCAACGGTGACGGAGTGCCTACTACCGACCCACAAATCGGCTGTCCAACACTGACAATTGAACTATTGTCGCATCAGAAAAGGCCTTTATCCAGCAGTGGACTGTTCCTCGTGTCGCCCAGAGCACTTATAGCTCTTCCTAGACTATGACTCGACTGTTCTTCTTGTAGAACATAACTTGTATAGTTTAACCTCTTAATTTTGAAGTGAAGTCACCATGTTTGTGGTTTATTAAAAGGCGGGTGGGCGCCACGAGGATAAGCTGATGATGACGATGTTGATGATGAATCTTTTTCTTCTGCCTCGCCTTATCCCGTTACATGGGGTCGGCTTTCCCGTTACATGGGGTTGTCATTAGGTAATTCTATCTTGAACGTCTTATTAGTGGAGTCCCAATATACTTTCCCAATATAGGTACTTTCATGTCCTTTTAGACATTTGAGGTCTTCCTGACCAGGAACTACCTTTGATTATTGAATATAACTACTAATAAACAACTTTCTGTGGTTTCCAGGGAGGACAGGCGCCAGCGCTGCCTGCCAAGCGCCGATGACGGCGTGTGCCGCGGCTGCGGCGGGGACACGCAGGGCGGCCTCGTGCCCTGCATATGCCGGTATTACAAGTGAGTTCTATGCTATTACTTATTAGAAGAAATACAGTAAGGTGGTCTGCAAGTCCATAATGATCTAAGCAAGTCCACGAGGCTCGAGGTACGAGGTACTAAGACAAATCTACGGATCAATACAGAAGGCCAAAAAGGTAAAATTTTCGTGACAGCAAACATTCACATCGTAGTGACTTAGCTGACTACTACCATTTAGAGCTGTGACAAAGTAAGTACTGGCAGTTGTTCCTAGGAATAAAAGTAGTAGTCACGGACTAGTTATATTATTATGCTATGAATTGAATGGAGTTGATGTTCGTTTTGAGATATTAAGACATTTTTTCCCTCGTTCCAGGCCGGTGAAGTACGATTCGAGCGCGTGGCTGCTGCAGCAGCTGCAGCGCGCCGTCAGCCTCATGCCGTGGAGCGTCAGCACCGACAAGCTCGAGCAGATCGGTCAGTACTCCCTTAGTCTTCTTGAATGTATCTACTGGACGAGTCGAGCGCGTGGTTGCAGCAGCTGCAGCGTTTGCTGCGAGCGTCAGCATCGATAAGCTCGAGCAGATCGGTCAGACCTCATGGTCATCTTAAAAGTACGGGACTATTCTCACCTCTCTTTCCCACCGCTGCAACTCCCTTGTAGCCAGGATCTACAGCTTGACCGTTAATAAAAACCCAACCAGTGAAATCCAAGGTTTGTCCCGATGGAAAGTTAAACTGTCATTGGTTGGACCCGCAACTAAATTAATCAGAAGAACATAGGAGGCACCTTGAAAGTAGTGGCATTTTCAAATCATCTTCGAATTCCTCTTGCTTTACTCGAGCATTTTTTGCTCGTGCTGCTTGTCATTCTATGAGTTTGAACCTCGCAAGTGTAGAGACGACATCCAGAGGAACAAAATATTAATCCCCGATTTTGTCTTGATTGTAAATTGTGCTGCCTGTAATAAACAAGAGATGTAAAGGTTGTCATATGGCTGTAAGTAAAAACCTACTGAATTACTCAGAACCAAGCTAATGTAATGATAGGACAAAAATAATATTTGAGACGTATCAGTCCTCTGTAAAGACCCTACGACTTTACTTATAGGGCACACATGCAGGCCGCCACCAACCGGCCATTGTGGAAATCATTGGGGGAGGCCTATGTCACCTATGTTCAGCAGTGGATGTCCTATGGCTGAGATGATGATGATGATGATGAAAAACCCTACATACCATACTAATGAAATCATCTTAACTTTTCCAGAAGAAGAATGCGAAGGCCGCGAGAGCCCGGTCCCGAGTGGCAGCCGCGAGCTGCGCAACGTCCGCGAGTTCCTGGAGACGCTGTCGGCGCAGCTGGCGGGAGGAGCGCTCGAGGGCACCCGGGTGGCGCCGCTCTACGACCATCCTGCCTGTAAGTACAATACTTGATACTCTTCTATAAGAGAAAACTTAATCACGAGACAACACTAGACAAGCTGGCCAGATTCAGGTTTCAGCGATTCCTATTCGTCATGATCGAGCGTCAGTTTGCTGGCACGTATTATAAATTAGTCAGCCAGTCGTATGTTCTAAGAATCCGTGAAATTCGAAACATGATATAAATTTGGTTTCTCTCCCCGATTGCCGCTCAATATCTCCAGGTATGTATAATTTAAGATCTCATCAGCTTCTTGAATACCTATCTTTTGATGATTTGCTCTTGACCACCACAAATATGCCCTTAAATTCACCCACAAAGTCCAGATACAATCTGTGTTTTAGATAACTTATGAAGATCTTCTTAGAAGTGGATTCTTGCTTTGATTGAAATCATTCACCAAACTGTGTGGTTAGGTGGTTAATGATTATAACTTACCTGAAAACAAACTTGAACAAGTATTAATTTTTTTTTAAAACTGTGCATGTGAAACGATAGTGGCTGTAGATAGCAATGTACTTGTAGATGAGAGCATGTTCGAGCGACACCACGCGGCCCTGCGCGACACGCTCGCCTCGCTCGCTCGCGCGCTCCGCGACGCGCTCACACGTAAGCTAGGGGAGCTAGGTCGCATGCTGTGTGTAGCACATTGTACAACTAATTTCTTGCACGATTGACGAGAGTGGCTGTAGTAGCAATATCCTTGTAGATGAAGCATGTTCGAGAGGCACCACGCATCCCTGCGTGACACGCGCGCTCCGCGACGCGCTCACACGTAAGCTAGGGGAGCTAGGAGCGCATGCTCTGTGTGGCATAATTATTAAATTAACAGAAGATTACTTGTTTCTTGCACGATTAACCAGAGTGACTGTAGTATAGCAATGTGCTTGTAGAAGAAAGCATGTTCAAGAGGTACCACGCATTCCTTCCTGCTCATACGAGCTAGAAGTGCTCGCCTCGCTCGCTCGCGCGCTCGGCAACTCGCTCACACGTAAGCTAGGTGAGCTAGGTCGCATACTGTATGTAGCACTATGTTAATAAAATAGTAGATAAGTTATTTTTGCATGATTCACGTGATGATACCATACGGTGTGTTCGAGCTTCCTGTGATCACAAGTAGACTGAGCGAATGAAACATGATGAGTGTTGCACCACTGTAGAAGACAAGGTATGTTTGTTGTGAATAATTAGATAGTGTCCTAAGCTACCTCTAGCTAGAGTGCTAAGCACACACGTACCTAAGTACGTGTGGCTAGAGGAAGCTAGAGTCACAGATTTTTATGCACCCCTGCTCGTGTGCTTTAAGATACAAGTAAGTAAGCTAGAGAAGGCTAAAGTCTCAAGCTGTGTTGCACCCTTATTTTTGTTTCTAATGTTAATCAAGGTTCACAAGTTACCATGAGCAGCAGGTTAAAGTGTGTCTAATTGTGTGTTGCACTTATTATAGCACGTTGTAAGTTGTGTATTTTTATGGTAAACAAGTTTGCATTATTTATAACTGTGTGCTAATAATATTATTAAGTGAATGTACATTTATGTGTAAAATGATCTCAAATCAAAAATCCTTACGAAGTTCCTTACCAATTTTCATTCGCAAACTTCACAGTAGAAGCATTTTGCTATGAAAGATCTAAAGTACGTAACAACACGATTGGAAACAATCACGAACCACTAAACGGTTGACGTTAAATATTGCTCTAATTATAAAAAAACAATTAAATATTACAAAAATATAATAACAAACGTATATATTAGTTTAATATACAATAATCGCAGACTTCAGTGAAAACTTTCAATTGTTAGCCGAGTCATAACAAATTCTTAACCAGAAGATGTGGAGATAAATTAACGGCTTGTTAGCTGTTAATGAGGATCAGTACTGTTGTAGAAAATTCAATAAAACTAGTATCTACGTTAATCTTTAAGACATAAGAAAGATATATCTTTTTGAATTATCCAAATCGGACCATTACTTACGAAGATATTAAGTAATAAACATAGGCCGTTTTTGCCGCTAAAAGTCAACGTACGCAAGGCCGCGTGACGTCATTATATCCGAATCGAGCACAGCCGGCGTACTAATGGGATGGAAAAAATTTTTTTCCGGCTTAACTATCAGTTTTAGAAAAAAACTTTTAATAACATTTATTCTTCAAAATAAAGTAACCTATCGACCAGTAATTTTTAAAAATAAAAATTGTGAAAAATAAGTATTGCTATGTCCAAAAACCACATTTTCATAGGATTCGATGCAATGCGGAGACGCGGTTGGGGTGAGTGTAACTTAATGATTGTTTGTATTGAACATAATAATACTTAATATGATGCTAATACCCAGTTTCTGGCCTGGGGGGGGGGGCCGCGGAGACCCCAATCGCGTCTCTGCGTGCCATTGAATCGTATGAGCGTATGGATTTTTTGCGTTATTTTTAACAATTTCCATTTTTAAAAATTACCTATCGATAGCTTACTTTATTCTGATGAATAAATGTCATTACAAGTTTTTCTCTAAGGGCTGATTTTTCAATCGTCAGATAAATTTTAACTAAAGAATAATCTTGTCATTTTGACATATTTCTCATACTAAATCTGTCAATGTGTCAAACTTATTCTTTAGTTAAAAGTTATCCAACGATTGAAAAATCAGCCCTAAAACTGATAATTTGGCTAGAAAAAAATATTTTCTATCCACGCAGTACGCCGGCAGCGTTCGGATCGGATATAATGACGTCATCGTCCCCGCGCCGGGCGGTCAGTGAACTTTTTTAGTAATTTGGCCATAACTTCGTCAATTTTTGTCGTAGAACAAAAATTTTTGCACTGTGTATTAAGGATTTCTTAGCCCTATAAATCTGCATTCACAGCTAAAAATCGAAATGATCCTCATTGAACTCATCAATCAAATCAGTCAGGACTGATTGGCTGATGATCTGTGAACAAGCTGTAACAAGCTGTTTAGACGTGCAGTTCGGCAATCAGCAGCTTGAGATGACAAACTGTTTTTCAGTTTGTTTTAAAATAGCTAAACGAATGACTTCGGTCGATGACTTTTTCAAATAAATGCTAGGGTTTCAAGCATTATTTTTTTAATGTTTTCAGCATTTAATTCAATTTTTACAAGTAGGTAAACGAACCATGTACCCAACCTTTAGAATGTTTACTTACAACTCGTGTAAACCAGTCCTGTAAACCCAAAAGCAATAGCTATTAAAATTGATATAAGTATGATTTAACACATACCTACTCCTCATTTCATACGGAAATCTGAAAAATCTGAAAAACTCAGTGTAAGGCTGGGTTACACCATCTTACTTTAACTTTGATAAACGTCAAAAATCTGTCAAACGCCATACAAAAAACACTGGTTATCGATAAAGTTACGGTAAAAGTTAGGTGGTGCAACTCAGCCTTAGTTTAGTTTTTTTTTTTTTTTATGCTAGCCAAGGCAGGTATTTGACCGCAATCGCACCTAGTGTCCACATATTACCTACTTCTTATTAATAAAATAAAAAATAATACGATTCATGCTTGTAATAAGTAGGTATTGAATAAGTAGTTGACCTTACAGCTAGATAATAAAAATATCGTTTCTTTTTATAAAAACGTCATCCAAGTTATATTATTGACGAGGGTAAAAACATTTATTATGTAGGTACACGCGCGTTACTGGTTTTTTCTACCTAATGACGTCAGATGAGACGTCATCCGCAATTGTTTTTATACTCGTATTTTTGCTAAAGATGTGAAATCCTGAATGACATCACGTGACTTTACCTAGACAACTTTATGATACTTGGGGCTAATATTGCGTAGGTACCCACTATGGTAGGATGACATGACATTTTGTACCCACTCTGCCATAAGGTCATCTTCTGAACTCTTACAACCGTAGAAACTTCCACTTGATCTATCAAATTAAGAAATTATAATAACTTTTCATATTCCTTTTGCTTGAAGCTTAAGCCTAGTTGGCCCCGATTCAAATTTGTATGAAGATCCTGCCGATAACAAATCGGTGTAATGTGCGCACTTTCATACATCTCCATACTGATTAACAGACCCACACAACTATCGGCCAACTAAAAATCGGTGGTCTGCGCCTAGGCTAACTAAAGAAAACTTTTAATTTACCTTGACGATCGAAAATCACAAGTTATTCACGTACCTATTACCTATGTGATAAAACAGTAATAATAATTATCAAATGCTGGATAGATTTGAATTTTAATTTCACAAGAAAGGTCGAGTCCGTCATTGACCTAGTGTGAACTCGGCATAATCACAACCATAATAAGCTCTTGCAGTATAATTATAATGAATTTGCGATGTTTCCGAGCCGCTGCGCCTGCGCTGCTGTAGTGATGTCTGCTAGAAATATCGATAAAGGTTTCTTACCAGTCACTTTTAGTCGCATGACTATTAACCATACAGTATTATGAAAAAAGCTTTCAACTAACGTTTTTTTCTATTGTAAACAACTTTGAAATCGTTGCTTGCCGACCTTACATTCCAGAGCTTTATTGATTTGAAAACATTTTAGCACACAATACAAAAGGAGAACTTAATGTCATGTGACTTTTTCTTACAGAAAATCTAAAGGTTCTTGGTATTGATGACTTGTTTTCTAAGGGAGGAAGCATATGACTAATGACAATTAAAGTATCGGACTTTGGTCTTTATGTCCCGAGTCTTATAAGGGAACAACCACGTACATGATTTAAAAGTTAAAAAATCGACTATCGATAATGTCAAAGTTACATCACTACACCCGTCCGCGTGCCGGATCCGTCACGGTCCATCCGTTGCTTTTAGCATACGATTGAATTGCGCATTATAATTATAATTGATCGGTCGTTCACAGCAGCTCGTTGTTAAGAGCTGAGACGTCATTGTTGAGTCTTTTGGAATTACTACAAGGAATCATTAGGATCTTTTGTAATTAAAACAAAGGCTATCACGTCAACGTGCCTGTTAAAGTGGTCATTAATATGAAAAATGGGCGAAAAATATGCATTTGACACAAACGAACTGGCAGGATTAAATAAATAATACAATCCGTTCGTTCGTTCGTTCTTTTCAGCCGAAGGACGTCCACTGCTGGACAAAAAGACCGGTCCTGCGCCGCTCGCATCCAGGCACCTCTCGCGACTCTCACCAGATTCTCGGTCCACCTAGTGGAAATACAATTAAATTATCGAAAAATAGAGTTCTTTGCATTTACGAATATGGTAGAATTGGCTGTGGTACAGAGTAACAAGTAAGTGTGTTGCGTTGGCTATTGTAGGAATTAATGGTATTTTGTTGAGTTTTTGATTTTGGACAACTTTATAGTTTATATGACTTTGTGCTAACATAGTTGAGGACTCTATCGGCTCATACAGGGTTCTTTTACATGCTCTTCAAGATAAAATAATTAAAATAACAGCGATATCAACCGCCGATGGCTGTGGATAACTGATTTTCCATGGATTTTGCATCGCGCGTGTTGAACCATTAAAATATTCCAGCCGTGAAGGATGGCAACCTATAAGAACCTATGAAAGTAATAAATAAAATAAAGTAAACTAGCGTAACGCGAAGTGAAAGGGGTGACGTTATGATATTATGAACTTGTAAAGATGCGTGAACTGTATAAAATGCAAAAAGAAATAAATATTCTCGGACATTTTACACTGCG